ATGGGCGCACAGTCCAGGCTGCAAAGCCACAGAACTTTGCTGACTGCTGTCAGCGCTGCTGCAGCCTAAGCACACCTCTTACATACACTGAAAATACACGCTCAACCACTACACAGGCTCCCGATGCACGCTCACACGTGTGCTCAGGCATGCGCTTTCTCACACGTGCCTGTGCATTCCTACCCCTGAGCATGCACATACACACATGGACTGGCCAGAATTTCAGCAGAGACCTAGTGCCTTCACCTGGTGTGATTTGGACTATTGATAAGTTAAATGAAAAATGTGGTTAAAGCAGGAATCCATATAAAAGGAACTTAAAACAAACACAAGCACCTGTAAAGGTGTATGTAAATGTGCACTCATCTGCCAGTAACTGATACACGCCAGCCAAAGCCTCTTCTTGGAATCTGGGGATACTGGGCGTGGTGACACACGCCTGAAGTTCTAGCTACTTGCGGGGGCTGAGGTGTGAGGATCACTTGAGCCCAGAAGTTCAAGAGTTCAGTAAGCCAAGATCATGCCACTACACTCCAGCCTGGGTGACAAAGTAGAGACCCTGTTTCAAAAAATGAAAAAAGAAAAGAAAAGGGAAAGGAAAGGAGGGGAGAGGGGAGAGGGGAGAGAGGAGAAAGGAATAAAAGAAAAAGGAGAAAAAGGAGAAAGGAGAAAGGAAAAGAAAGGAAAGGAGGGAAGGAAGGGGAGAAAGAGAGAAAGTGAGAGAGAGAGAAAAAGAAAGAAAGAGAAAGAGAAAGAAAAGAAAAGAAAGAAAAAAAAGAAAGAAAGAAAGAAAGAAAGAAAGAAAGAAAGAAAGAAAGAAAAGAAAGAAAGAAAGAAAAAGAAAAGGAAGGAAGGAAGAGAGAGAGAAAAAAAGAAAAGAGAAAAGAAAAGAAAAACAGAACAGAACAGAAAAGAGGGAGAAAGGGAGGGAGGCAGAAATCAATCTGGGGATACTAACTGCAGTTCTCTGTTATCTTTCTTGGGCAAATCACATCCATTAAGACATCAGCTAATTTTTCCAGTTTTGTTTTGTTTCTTATTAAAAAGTGGAACAAGGCCTAACAGTTGTGAAACAATCTAAGCATAAAATCTTACAGGCTTTCAAGTTTTTTTTTTCTGATTTTTCACAATCATGTCACCCACATTCTCATGACAATTTTTTTAGTGACTCTCCTTTATCAAAGTTTCCCTAAGCATTCAACTTATTTTTCCTAGAAACGACAATTCCTTTTTATATTTCATGGGTTTAATAAATATCCCATTAAATTACCTAATTACAATAATAAGTACAACGGGCATTAACCAGTGAGGAACAAACCCAGCTGATTATTGGTAGGTCTGTAGCTCAGCTGGGGGCAGCAGGGACACAGGTGCCCTGAAGTGGCCCATTTGGTCTCATGCAGTCAGTGAGGACCATGGCTCTAACTGAGGAAACTTAAAATGTCAGTTCATCAGGGGAGCTAGTTAAGAGAGTTTCAACTATACTGATAAATACAATAAAATAATAAATAAACCTTCATTTATCTTTTAAGCCTTGACTACAATGTTGACAGCATTTTGAGTGCATTAAAAAATACAACTTTTGAGCCATTCATTTATAATACAGGAATCTATTTTAGGGTCATTAAAGTCTGTCTATGCATTTAAGGTCTTTTATTTAAAACTTCATAAAGCATGCCATAAGCAAAAACAAACAAAAGAAAAACAAAAAACCATGAACACTTCAGATTCATATGCCAGTCACTAAGCGTTAGTGTCTACAGAAAGTGGTCCCAAAAACCTCTGTGAAGAAAGGCTTTGTCACGAGCTGTGCCTCCACCAGCAACAGCAACAACTAACCCTTGACTAGTACTTCCTAAGTGCCAGGCACTGTTTTAAGCAGTGTACACATATGAACTCATCATCATGCTATCAATCTCATGATGTATGATTATTATCTTCATATTACAAGTGAGAAACGGAGGCATATAGAATATTAAGTAATTTGCCCAAGTTATCCAGCTACTACGTGGCATAGCTGGGAGTTGAACTCACGCAGCCTGGTTCTTAATCACTGTGTTACACGGCAAAGGCAGAGCTGATAGAAGATAACTCCTAGTGATGTTTCACCCTGAACGTGATCTGTCAGAAGTGACAGGCATTCACTTTCCAGGCAGGAGGCACTCAATCATCATCCATGTTCCTACGCTCAAGGACATGGAAAGCACCCAGCATTACAGGTCTGTTTCCACCTCATTCCATTATCTCACTTTGAGGGCAGATGACACACCTCTGGCAAACCAATAGTCCCCCAAATGTATTCTTATGATGAAAGGGGGAAGGAGCACTGGGTCCCCAGTCAGGAGACCTGGGTGCGTGTTTCAGCTCCGCCACACACTTGCTATGTGATCTTGAGCAAGTCACTTTACCTCTCTAAGCCTCAATCTTTTAACATGTGGAATGAAGGGAAGCTCTCAGTGGTTTTCTGACACTTTTAGGAGCACAGATCCCTTTCTTTACTGAGAAGCCCGATACTTTGAAACAGAGGAAACCAGTGGTTCTCTAGTTGCAGGTACCCAGGGAAGGCAGCCCCACTGTGTCTCTCGGCTGATCCCTCCCCATCCCCTGGATGCTGGGAGACGACTGGGACTTAATTAGATGGCACAGGGCAGACAGGCACATGGTGAGCAGAAGTTCTGGGATGAAGAGGAAGGCACAGAATGGGCAGAACAGAGGCTCATGAAGTGCTAATACTGGGAAGCAGCTGCCCAAGGAAGAGACTAAAGTCGTATCATTGAGAACCTCAAATATCAGACCAAAGAGTCTGAAGCTGCACTTGCAGGCTGAGGTCTATCAGCAATGCTTCTGATGTAGGGAGATGACATGATCAGAGCTGTCTGAAGACAGAAAACAGCAGAAAGCAGATGGATGGGAGCAGAGCAGGACCAAGAAGGTGGGACTGCAGCCATGAGCCAGGATGAGGAAAGAAAGCAGGGCCCACTACAGTGACCACCCTCACAAGTGCTGGTCTTCTGAGGTCTGAGTATCCCTGACATTGAGCTCCAATATAACCGTATATATCCTATATATCCTACTCAGCTTCAATTTATGCCTTAAAAACTAAAAACACACAGACAATAACTTTATCATACTGAATTCAACCATGAACGTACAAAAAAGAAAGCAGTTATAGCAAAGAGGCTACTTTTTAAAACAGTGTGTCCTTGGATGGTAGCTTCTAGGAACACCCCAGCCCCACCCTGAAAAACCAGTGGGACCCCTTATGGAGCTCAGCTGGCCAACTGCACGGTGACCACTGGCCCGGGCTCTATGGGACAGCAAGAGAACGGCCAACTGTACAGTGACTGCTGGCCTGGGCTCTATGGGACAGCAAGAGAACGGTCAACTGCACAGTGACCGCTGGCCTGGGCTCTATGGGACAGCAAGAAACTTCCAAGTCTCCCACAACGCACTGCCTCTACCATCTTTCTCTTTTTTTATTTTTTATTTTCTTTGAGACAGGGTTTCACCCTGTCGCCCAGACTGGAGTGCAGTGATGTGAACTCAGCTCACTGCAGGCTCGACCTCCTGGACTCAAGCGATCTTCCCACCTGTGCAGCCTCCAAGCAGTTGGGACCACAGGCATGCACCATCACACCCAGCTAACGGATAAACAAAATATGGCACATTCATATATGGGAATATTATTTGACCACAAAAGGAAATGAAGCACTGATACTTGCTACAACATGGATGAATCTTGAAAATACTATGCTAAGCAAAAGAAGCCAGACACAAAGGTATATACAGTGCCATTTATATGAAATGTCCACAATAAACAAATTCATAAGCCAGGGGCAGTGGCTCATGGAATCCCAGCACTTTGGGAAGCCAAGGTAGGATTGCTTGAGCCCAGAAGTTGAGACCAGCCTGTGCAAGATAGAGAGACCCCTGTCCCTACAAAAAAAAAAAAAAAAAAATTAAAATATTAGCCGGGCATGGTGGTGTACGCCTGTAGTCCCAGCTACTCTGGAAGCTGAGGTAGGAGGAATGCTTGAGCTCAGGAGTTCAAGGCTGCAGTGAGCCATGATCATGCAACTGCACGCCAGCCTAGGTAACAGAGCAAGACCTTGTCTCAAAAAACAACAAAACAAAACAAAAATCCCACCAAAAAAAAAATTCATACAGATAGAAAGTTGATTAGGAGTTGCCTATGGTTGAGGGTTGACAGAGGAGAAGGGGTTGGGGGAAATGAGAAGAAATCGCTAATGTAATGAGTTTCTTTTTGGATCGATGAAAACATTTAAAAATTGATTGTGGTGATGGTAGCACAACTCTGTGAATATACCAAAAATCATTGAATTGTACATTTTAAATGGGTGAACTGTACAGTGTGGGACTTGTATCTCAATGAAGTTCTTATATTAAAAAACAAGTCGACCATAGTGGCACCTGCCTGTAGTCCCAACTACTCAAGAGGCTGAGGCAGGAGGATCACTTGAGCCCAGGACTTGAAACCAGCCTGGCCAACACAGCAAGACCTCATCTCATAAAAACCAACCAACCAAACAAAAACCAACCCACCTCCACTCTCACTAGACCATGCACAAACAGGGAATGGAAATCCAGAGCACAGGACCTGGCCAACCCAGTGTCTTGGAGAGGGGACTAGGCCCTAGGCACAAGAAGCCCCAGCTCTGCAGCCTGGAAGAATTGTGACCTCGGACACATACTCTCCTTCAGCCAGTTTCAGTCTCTGTAAAATGTCAGCCATATGACCTACTTCACAGAGTTGAGCAATTAAATTAAACTGTAAGTGTGAAAATGTTTGGCATAGTGTCAGACACAGAATAAGCATGTAATACAAGCTAAAACCACAATGATCTATGGGAAAGTATGATGTAAACAACAAAGGCCTTTGTAAGTGTAAGATAGTTTTATAACCTCATTTATAAAATTATAACATGCATTATCAGAAACAATCCATTTTCAATTTCATATGCTGCTTTCCAAAGACTCACTTGAGCTCATTGCCCCACTGTTTCAAAGAGTAAAAATTAATGGAATTTGGATGCCCTGGGGCGGGCTGATTTGCAGCTTGTTCTCCCACCAGCTCTCCAGGCACAGTCTCCACAGCTAGGACATTTCTGGCTTTTTCTGCAGAAGCATTTGGGTGTGGGTAAATTAAATCTGAAAAGGAAAAGGTAAACAAATGTCACTTACTCAAAGCTTCCACATAAAACTTGATATCCCACATAAAACACTGACTTGATATACTATATAAAAATCTAAACTATGTAATAGTATATTTTTAATGTATACTATATAAAAAACATAATCTGTGGGTAACTCTGGTGTTCTGAAACCATTTTCATCTAAATAGCTCCATGTTTCTTAAAGGAAGGTTGTGACATACCTCAAACCACCAAGTATTAACAGTGTTGGCCCAGAGAAAGCAAAGGCTAGAATTTTCCTCCAGTACTGCAGATCAATAACCCTCACCATAAACCCGTCATCAAAGTCCAATCACCTGTCCTGATAAGAAACAATTTCCAGGAAAAACTGGTATATAAGAAAAGCAAAGTGCAGGTCAGATTATACAAGGGTATGTTTTCTCTAAGAAAGTGGGAGAAATACAAATGTAAATGTATTTGCTAATACTTGTAAAGAATGATACTGAAAAAATAAAGTTTGCACATCACAGAATAGCAGTTCAGTAAATTCACAAGCAAACACACTGATGCTAAGGCATGATGAAACTTCACATCTTTAAAATGTAAACTTTTGAAATAGTTAAGGTGGAAATCATATGATGGTCAGGATTTACCATCATATGGTAAATATGATGGTAAACAGCAGTATTTTGTTACTTAACAAACACATAGTAATATTTGCTTCAGGTAACATTTTATTTGCTTCAAAATAACAAAGCAGGATATCAATGAAACAAGAGGGGTAACTATCGCTGCAACTACCCAATAAACCTGGAGGTAATATTATGTTATTCTTTGTATACGTTTAAAATTTCCCATAATAAAAAGTTACTTAAAAATTTTTTTTTGATAAAAACTTTTGTTTTTTTTTTTTCTCCCAAGACGGAGTTTGGCTCTTGTTGCCCAGGATGGAGTGTTTCACTCTTGTTGCCCAGGATGGAATCCAATGGCACAGTCTTGGCTCACTGCAACCTCCTCCTCATGGGTTCAAGTGATTCTCCTGCCTCAGCCTTCCAAGTAGCTGGGATTACAAGCACCCGGCACCACGCCAGCTAATTTTTGTATTTTCAGTAGAGACGAGGTTTCATCGTGTTGGCCAGGCTGGTCGCGAACTCCTGAGCTCAGGTGATCTACCCGCCTCCGCCTCCCAAAGTGCTGGGATTATGGACATGAGCCACTGTGCTGATAAAAACATTTCTAACTACAAATACTTTGTATTCTTCCAAATGACATAATCTGCACTGGTGTTTCAGTGGTAGAATTCTCCCATGCCAAATGGCATAATCTCTCTGAGAATAGGACATGCTTGTAAACAGAATTCAATATTACTTTAATCAATTTGATCTACACTTCTTTTTAAAGTATCTCTGTATCAACAAAATCAACCATCTCTTTCTGTGAAATCAGAATTGACTGCTGACCACTGATATTCAAGAAAAATTCTTTTCTCTTTCTTTTGAGACAGGATCTCAGTGAACACGACTCACTGCAGCCTCAACCTCCCAGGCTCATGAGATCCTCTTGCCTCAGCCTCCCAAGTAGCTGGGACTACAGGCACGCACCATGCCCAGCTAATTTTTGGGGTTTTTTTGTTTGTTTTGTTTTTTTGTAGAGACAGGGTCTGCCATGTTGCCCAGGCTAGTCTTGAATGCCTGGGTTCAAGCAATTCTTCCACCTCGGCATCCCAAAGTGCTGGGATTACAGGTGTAAGCTACTGTACCCAGCCAAGAAAAATCTGTTTCTAATCAGAGGAGCACACAACCAGAGCCAGCAAGAACAGGTCTCTGCTAAAGGTCACTGAGCACTGGTAAAGGAAACAGAGAGCAGGCATTCCTGGGCTGCTCCGGCTTGGAGAGCAACGTACTGAATGTCGCATGATGAGCCTGCACTGTGTAGGCAGGTTCTGACTTGACCAGTCAGTGGGAAGGGCTTCAAAAACACACTGGGAAAGTATCTTGGGCGTGGCATAAGTAAACAACTGCTGTGTATCTATTAGGGTAATTTGGCTCTGGCCAGAAGAGTCAATGCATGGCTTACAGTAGGGTTCTGACCAGGAAAAGCAAGATGGTGTGCTGGGAACAGAAGAATTACAGGCTTAGTAACAGAGTACACACTTTTTTTTAAAATTTTTTATTTTTTTGAGACTGGATCTCACTCTGTCACTGAGGCCTGGAGTGCAGTGGTGTGATCGCGGCTCACTGCAGCCTCTTGAGTCAAGAGGCAAGAAGTTACAAATAACCACAGATTGCCAGTTCTTGGTTTTATTATCATGTAGTAAGCACTAGGCACCGAGGGCACAACAACCGATGAGACAGAGCTTTCCCCATAAAGGAGAACACGTCCAGGAGACAGACATAAGTAACACAGTAACATGTCAAGCTCCAAGTCACCACAGAATAAATACATTGAGTCCTTGGGATCCAGACCCTTCCTCTGAGTCTTAGGGTTCCAGGAGATGCCTGGGGGACTTCTAGAGGGAGAGGAGGATGGGGGCCCCATGCTCAGTTTCATCTTCAGCAGTTCCTCTCTTCACCTTTTATATACTGGGGTTCCCTTTAAGATTTCATTTGGAGAAGAGGTTCCAGCAAACAAAAGAAAAAAAAAGTTCAAACCCGACTAATCCAGTCCAGTCTCCTTACCTACTTTCTCCATCAGGACACTAGAGTCCAGAGCCAGGGCCAGAACCCGGACACCTGCCCCTGCAGTATACAAATATCGCAAGGCAGGTAGAGATGAGTGTACCTACCAGAGGAGGGCACAGTACCTGGAGTGGGGGGCGGGGGGTGCTCAATGTTGGTGAGCGTGTGTGTCAGTTTACAGGTACATGGAGTACAGGCGCAGCACAAACTCCTTTACTTCAAAGGCTGGTCTTACAACCATCATCACAATTCTAAGCCAAATCAGGAAATAAACACAACAAACTGTACGGATTTCTACTACAGGCTGAGTCTGGCCTCTTCTTCCTGTGTGGGTTAGTAGCAAGGTGATGAACGGCCTCTCTGCGAGACTGGACTGTCAAACGCTCATGTGGCAAAGTGCCTATTACCAAGAAAACCCCAGGCCTTGCAGCAACCCACAGCCCATACTGGAAATACTTCCTGAGGAACTCAGAGGCCCCAGGGAGGGGTGGAGAAAAGGGACCAGAGACCAGGGAGGAACATGTTGGAGGACAATTTCTAAAAGTAATTATCTGACTTGAAAAAGAAGCTCTTTTCCAGCTTAATACATTTTTGCTGTAACTGTTATTTTTGTCTGGTTTTTGGTTTTTAAGAGACCATGTGAGATGTACTTAATGAAAGCAGAGCTGCTGGCTTCTCCTCAATACATGTCCTAACATTAGCATGCAAGGAACCGCCTCAAAGAGGACATTAAGGGAAAACACAAACTAGGACATGGCAACATTTCCTCGAAGATTTTAAGAGGCTGGACTGGTGTTCATGAACATGTCTTTTGTCTTACAGCTTCAGTGGGGAAAGAAAGTCTGTGCCTGATGGTTTTTGGTGTTTAGACCTCTGTCCTTTTTAAACATTTTCAAATGCCTAAATGAAAACTCTGAGGGGGTTTCTGACTGCATTGTTCCCATTTCCTAGGTTCTGATTCTAGCACCGCCTCTAAATCCAGTGTGACCCCGGGCAGTCTCAGCCTCCCTGGAGCTGCTGGCTTCTCCTCCCTGGTCTCCAGCCTCCCTGGTCTCCAACAGCTGTTCCCATTTGCTGCATTCTACCACATGATGCTCAAAGTCTCCTCCTAATGGGACTCCCTGCACAGGAGCGGCTCCTGCCTACATCTGGACTGCCTCAGTGAGTATTCCCTCTCCTCTCCTGCTGTCTCAGTCAGGCCTAGGTGCTCCGCCAGCAACTTCTACACAGCACAGAACTGTGTACAGTGGGAGAATTCTCATAAAACTCAACCCAGGCCTGTAGCTGCATCCAAGAAAGGAGAAAAGAACACTGGGAAAGGGTTGTCCCCATATGCATCTTAATGAAAAGCAGAACTTTTCATTAAGGACACAGCAAATGAAAGTGTGGGTGTCAACATTGGGAGGTGGAGGAAGACAGGGTGGGCTTAATCTGAAAATTTTTTTTTATTTACCAATGTGAGTTTTAATACAGATTGTGAAGGACCAGTCAAGAGGAACAGAAATATCTTCCAAATGAGAACACCGCGTCCATCTAAGCACCAAAAAAAAGAGGCAGCAAACCACCGGGTCCTGACAGGCCCCAGCATAGGCCAGTCCATATGTCTGGTTAATTATTCATCTGCCTGTTCCCTACCCCCATCAAGGACACAACTCTGTGAGAAGTGAACCTCTATCTGATGTGCTAACAGCTGCATATCCAACACCTAGCATAGAGGAGTGACTGAATAAATGTTGGTTAAATGACCACATTAATCCATAAAAGACAGGAACTTGCTAACATGGCATAGGAGAAAAGGCCTTCTGTGGGTTTAAACAATCGGGCAGAAGGCAGCAAAGGCTCCTGCAGTTCTTCAATGGATTTATACTCATCATCCTTCCTGACTTTCCTCTCTCCTGCCACCTTGCCTCTGACAGATTCCCTGAAGTGGGGTGGGGGTTTCCCTCTTTTCCTTTCCCATTCCTCCCTGTTCTCCTGCAACCTGACTCAGCCACCGCCCCTGCCCCCATTCACAGCCACATCAACCCCTGTATTCACCTGCATTAAGTCCCACCAAATCTAGGCTGAGGATGTCCCTGCTGACACCAAACTCCAAGCTTGTTCCAGACAGTCTCCTTTTCGACCCTATCCAGCAGGCTCCTCCCAGACAGAACTGCAATCTAACCCCACTCGGCATCTCCCTCACATCCTCCCTCCCACAGTCACATTCTTTCACAACCTGACTTTCACAGAACCTTCAAACCGGAAGGAACCTGGTTCAGAGAGCATCTTGCTTCACAGATGGGGAAATCATGATGTACTCAAGGTCCCATAAGCTCTCTCCATGCTGTCTCTCCGATACAATGCTAGTAACTACCGATACTTCACAAGAACGGATGGCATTTTGCATTTTACAAGGATTACACGAAAGCACAGCTTCCTTGATCTCTGTATGGAATCATGACATTAAAGGTTGATGTGTAATTCCTGTGGCACTGCCAACGCGGGGCCTGCATTCCACCTAATGGCTTTCCTTCTGGCAGCCCTCTACACCCTGCACCCCGCACCGAGAGCACTGCTCAAGCTGCCTGAGGACTGAAAGTTACAGCTACTCCTCCCACACCATCCCCTTGCACACAAGCTGTTAAGAGTGTAACAGTTCAACTACCCGATGCAGCTGCTTCAGGGGAGGAAATGTGTGGTCATCCTTCAAACTGTCTTCACAATACAATGATCTGCAAGAAATACCATCCATATTCAAACAGGCACTTGGGCATTTGAGCCTGCTATGACCATGAATGCTTTAGTACTCATGAACTTTCAAGAAGTTTTTTTAAAAAAGCAGGATCTTGTTACCCCTGGCTTGTTTTCTTATTAGTTTATGTGGGGAATGAAGTAAACAGAATGTGCTAGACATACATCCTGTAATGAGGCTATTAGTCATTTATGGGCACCTCCTTTGGGTTCTAGTTACCTCATTCTCAACAGCTATAAAGGTTTGTGGACCCCTGATTGTATCTTTATGCAAATTATTCTTTTGTGTTGAAACTAGGTCTTTCTCTATCCAAACACAGAAGACAATGTGGAATGGTATTTGAGGCATGGCATGCCTTCAGAGGACAGGCTACAAAATAGAAGGCAGACAGAACAGATATTGACTAATAATAAAACTGCAAGTTCTAATCACACACAGGAAAGTCTCTTACTCAACACAGATTCTAGAAAAAAAATTATATGTGACAGTGCTGGCTCCTTAATGAATATTCAATCCAGCTTTTCCTTACTTATAAACCTTGGTTTTGATCGTGGCCATATGCTCAGCTAAAATACTTGGCTTCCCAGACTCCTTCCAGCTAGGAATGGTCATGTGACAGTTCCAGCTAACGATGCATAAGCCACAGGTTTCTGGGAAAGCATTCTCCTTTTTGATGTAAGTGCCACCCCCAGGGGCAGCTAGCATGAGCAGGAAAGCTAATACACTCTAGCAATGGAAAACAGAGTCAGAGACAGCTTGGGCCCCTCAGCGGCACTAGTGAGTAGCTATGCCAGCCATAAACTGCTTATCATGTGAGACAAATTACTCCCTATGTGTAAGTCCTTATTAGGAAGGTTTCCTGTTAATTACAGCTGAACATAATGCTAACCCTTTCAAAATGATATCATCTCATACATATGTATACAATATATAATATATGTGTATATACACATACATATGGCTCTTTACACTTAACAATGCAGTTTCCCATTTGATCCTTATAACAACTACAAAGGAGGGTGAACAAACTTCAATTCCCAGAGCCACAGTTTCCTACCCCTGTACTACAGGATAAGTGACTTAACTTAGAGTCTGACAACTAGTAAATATCCCCAAAACTCACAGGCCCACAGGGCTTCTTCCACCAGGTAGAGCTGCCTTCTAAGATGTATAACTAGCTATCAGTGGAAAACGTTAATCCCCTATATTTTTCCCCATATTGACTTTAGGTGCTAGGAGGGTCCTGATAGGTGAAGCCCATTAGACTACAAACCAAAATGTTCCAAACAACTGAGTGACCACGAGACAATACTAGGAAAAATTTTATTTTTAATGCAAATCAGTTATAAAAACACTCTTCTTTAATTCTTGCTAGAGTAGGCTAAGCTGAGCAGATAACTACAAGCATGGCTTTAGAAACTTCACAGAGCACTGCCATATAACACAACACAATTTATCTTTGAACCGGATTTCATCTCTGATGATGAAACAAAAGGGGCTAAAATACAAGCTTTTCTTCTTGACTTCCTGCTTTAGATTTTTTGGCTTCCTGAGCTATTATAGTCTCACATACCGCTCTGGGGCCCAAAGTTTCATTCCTTGTTCTTAGAAGCTATCTAAAAATTAATAGAAGTCTAAAGTTACCGTCATTTCTATCTATAAAAATCTTCAAAGGCACTCCATTGCTCTTAGGATAAAGTCCAAAATCCCAAGGCCAGCAGTCTAGGCTCTCCCCCAGCTCTGGCTCTGGGTCCTGGGTGTGCCCCCAGGTTCAATTCACACCCCACAACTGCTTCCAGCCGGTAGCCATCCTGACTACAGCTCTGGAAAGGCACCGCAGTCCAGCCCTGTCACCTGCCTCCCCGCTTCTCCACCTAGCTAATTCCTAGCCATCCTTCAGGCCTTGGCTTAGATGCACTTCCTCAGAGAGGCCCTAACTGCCAGAAGCTATGCACAGCCCACTTACAGCCCATGGCACCAGCATGCACCCTTCCCTCACATTTCTCTCATTTTTTCTCTGCACAACCACCCTGCTTGACTAGAAATTCTGTGAGGAGAGGGACAAAGCTCATCTTGAGTGCCAACTTTGCTGAATGAATGAGTAAATGTCAGATGGCATTTACTCAAATGCTAAATTCGATACCTGGAGTCCCCAAATCAAAGGAGGAGAAACAAATATGGGCTTCAGATATTTTCTCTGGCTCTCCAATCACAGCATTTTGACTTAGAAGGAGGAAGGACAGCTGTTATAAAGAGACTATAGGGATAAGCATCACTTCTTTGTCCTCCTTTTGGTTCAATATCCCTGAGTCTTTGCTAGAAAGAAGCACTTGGTGTCCTCAGAACAAAGGAACTGAGGCAAATCAAGCACCTCCTGTGCCAAAGGCAGTGGCTATGCTCATGAACACCGCCCGTTCCCACAGGATTTCCAAATGTCCCAAGTGACTCAGACACTCAGTTAGGAGCTCCTTTTGATGAAAAGCACTGTAAGAGTGGCTTTCAAAACAACTCAGTTACCAGTAACTTGACCCTGAACTAAACATAAGGGGGCAAAAAGTTGAAAATAAAGCCATGACCTCAGAACTTGGAATAGTCAGAGTGCTAAGACAGTCGTGAAAGTGACTCGAAAACTCTCACAGAAAATATATCAACAAGTACAAAGCATATATAGTAATTTCTCACTGATAAGAGGATTCACCTACTGAAAAATACTGGGACAAGTAAAAACAAGACTGGCAAATTTGGAGATGAAAAATTTGTCTAAGAACGCATTTGTTTCTGGAGTAAATCAGCCACACATGTGCCAACACCATCCTTGGTGGGACAGGCAACTCGGATGCAGCCCTGTGTTCTGCTGAGCAAAGGGTCCCGCAGGTTTTATTAAGTGCAGACAACATCTCTTTATGAAACTGTTAGAACTAGTCCTTACTGTTGTCTACTTCTTTTAATGTATGCTCCATGTGTCTTCCAAAAATACTAGTACAATGGCCTGGGCTTTTTAGACCTTACTTCTGAGCTTAGGAGGCTTTTTTGTTTGTTTGTTTGTTTGTTTGTCTGTTTTTCTGGATGTGTTCTTTGCCCTGTATGGAGAGCGGGGGCCAAAAATAGTCCCATCTCCACAGTCTTTGCAGTCGGGGGTAGGATGGGCAGCAAATAATTGTTGTCCTGTTCTTTCTAGAGGTTATCTCCATGTTGCAAATGCCCAGGGATTCCCCTGAGTTATAGAAATGCCATGAATCCAGGACAGAATTACATCAATGTTTGAAGGCTAAAGTCTTCCTAAGAAACACTAGAGAATTCTAAGTGGAATGTTTTGAGAATACCTTCCTAGCGTATACAAACACCTGTTAACCTTGGCAAGTCTGCCCAAGCATGACTATTTAGGCACGAGTGCTCCATCATTAGGTGTGGTAGAAAGGCTGGCCCTGCAGTCAGAACTAGACTTACAGCACCACAACTTACTACATGCTGACCTTAGTCATATCATCTCTTCCATATGCTTGGCACTGGCCTTGCCTGATTCCAAGGCCATCACTGGGTTTGCATAAGCTTCGTACATGGAGGCGCTGGGTAACTGTGGAATGCTGTCCACTCATAAGGTAGCATCACTATTATTTCTTTCTAAAATCATTTTCATTCACTGCTAAGTTCATGTGTGGTATCGAATGGCTCACACAAATAACTGACCCAGCTCCCCTTTATTTCTGCCTTACCGGTGTTATCTCTGGCTACAAGACCCTTAGGAAAATCCCCGGGAGTTGGAGAGGTCCTGCTGTCCCACTTGACCATGTCGAGACTGTTACAATATTCCCATCTCTTCTGCTGAAGCTCCTGTAACCAGTAAGTCATGAGTTGACGATTGGGAGCCTAGAAAGAGGGAGGGGAAAAACATGTTATGGCCACCAATAATATGAAGAGCTTAAAAAATATTATGTCTCATGAGTACAGACTGTTCAGCTTGCCATATGAGAGTTAAGATGAACAGATCAAGGAAACTTCAGCTACAAGATTAGTAGCTTTTGCTCATGATGAGTTGGTCAAGCAAACAGCAATTGTAACATGAAGAATTGAACACAATTAATAAGAAGTCTTTTTAAATTCTAAAATTAAATAATGCAGCATAACATTTTCCTCAAAACTGTTTAGGAAGGTGTGATAATACTGCTGCTCTTTTGCTCTGAGCAACTATAAATTCCATCTTCAGAAATAAAATCTTACATAGGTATGAATGACGGCCTTGCCAAATCACATCAAATAATGATATTTAAACTCCATCAGCATCTGAGAGTATACAAAGAAAACTGCAGATTAAAAACTAGCTGGCACTCCTATCAGAATGGCTAATATTTCAAAAAGTTGACAATGCCAAGTGCTGACAAGGGTGAAGGGCAGCTAGAACTTTCATAAGCTGCTGGTAGAATGCAACTTGGTGCAGCTACTTTAGAAAACAGTTTGGCAATTCCTTATAAAGTTAAATATACACTTACCAAGTGACCTGGCAAGCCCATCCCTACATATCCACCCAAGAAGAATGAAAACATATTCACACAAAGACCTGTATGTAAGTATGTATAGAGGTTTTATTCATAATTGCCAAAAAAATGAGAACTTCATCTGGTGAAAGGATTAAAAAAAAAACTGTGGTACACATCCATACAATAAAATACTATTTAGCAATAAAAAGGAGCACATTATTGATTCCTACAACATGGATAAATATTAAATGCATATTGCTAAGTGAAAGAAGCCTGACCCAAACGGCTATATACTATATGACGCCATTTATGTAACACCCTGAAAAGGTTTTGCCTGAAAAGGCAAAATTGTCAGAACAGAAAACAAATCAGTGGTTGCCAGGGCTTGGCAGGCAGGGGAGTAGCAGACTACAAAGGGGCAGCACAAGAATTTGTGGGTGACAGAACTGTTCTGTATTATGGTTCTGGTGGTAAAGTCATGATTCTACACATTTGTCCAAAATCATAGAATTATATACACAAAGAGTGAATATTATTTAGAAAAATCAACCAAGATGGGGGAGAGGACCCAGAACAATGAACCTAACTATAAACAAACTAGACTGCAGGTATGGGTTAAGGTCTCCAGGCTGCCCCCTGCAAAGGAGTCCCAAGAACAAGGAAGGCTGCCATGACACAATTATGGGAACTTCATCAACACTGGCATCCAGTGACATGTGCAGACATCAGACACAGTGGTTCCCAAGATCAGAGGCAGTGAAGAAAATGGCTCTGCAGGCATGACAGCAAGAGACAGGCCTAAACCAAACTACTACTACTTACAAGCAAAGGATACAAAGGATAACCTCTGGGTGCTGTGGCTACAACCTGGGTCTTTTTAGTGATAATTGCATACCTGGCCTCAGATAAAGAAAAGCCTTCATTACAGGATATTTGGGTATTTTACAGAAAGTTCTTCCAACTATCAGCCAAGTTGCCATTTCATCTATTCATTTAACCAACATTTGCCAAGCACCTATCAGGTACCCAGACCTGGGGCTTGGCCTAGTGAGAAAGACAGGAAAAAACACCCAGTAATTTCCATGCTGCATTAAGTGCTATGACAGAAAGCAGAGCAGGTGAGGCAGGGCTGGCGTGACTGGAGAGCACTGGGGAAGGACAAATAGCCAAGGAGGGAGGTGCAGCAAAGGACAAGGTACTCAAAGTCCAGGACACCTGCCACATGCAGGTTTAAAAGCTTCAAAGTATTGGTTTAAAGTCTATCTTCTCCAAGAAACAAACTCCAAGTTGTCTCCATTTCTCTAGCATCTAGCTCAGTGCCAGGCACATAGTAGGTCAGTATTTACCGAATACATGTATGTAGGAATAGTGAATGAATGAATAATCAGAAAATGATACAGGAGAGCTTGGTCTTAAATGGGAAGCAGGCAGTGGCCAGAGGAAAATAGATTTCAGGAAGAGAGAGGAGTGTTTACAAAAGTGAAAAGGTCAGAGAGCAGGAGTGAGGTGAGGTCAGTGAGTGGCAAGGACCTGGCCCTGAAGGGACTTGTGTGCCTTCCTAAAGAGATGGAATGGGGAACTTAGCAGGGCACTGGGGAAGGACACATATCAGATTATTAGACAAAGGTACTGCTGGCGAAAATGGTGGTGAGGGAAAGGCAGGTGCACAGTTTGCATAGGAGATTAGCTCAGGCCAGAGGCCATGAGCCCACTTGAGAGATCCATGAATTACAGCCTGGAGTTTGGGCGGCAGGCTGGTTGCAGGGTAGACACAGGAGCTCAGCCTGGCCCTGGGGCGGAGCAAAGAGCACACAAACATTTCCACAGGAGGGGAGAGGAGAGTAGTCACCAGGCAAGTCAGGAACTGAGACACACAACCACAGCCAAATTCAGAGCCCAAAGCCCACCCAGTCCTCCCCTTTTTTTTTGCAGATGAGGGGATAGAGGCCCAGAAAGGGATGTGACTTGTCTAGATCATACAGGGAGTCAATACTGTGAGCCCGGTCTGCCAAACCCCCAACCCTTAGAGGCAATTGTGTGTTTGGGTGGGGGGAATGTGTGTGTCTGGTCCTCCCACCAGCTCCCTGACTACCTGGCCCCTCCATCCCCATGCCATGGATGAGCTAAGCACCCTGGGAGCCTTCTGCTCCAGCCAGGGAGGCGTCCAGACACTTGCTCTACTTCCTCTTGTTCAGCCTGCACACGCAGCTGTGTTTCTATTTATGCTCAGGAGCCACAGGCTGCTCAGAGAAGCTGGCACACACTCACTAGGACAGATCTGAACCAACCTCTCCAGCTGCCTCTGACAATGCAGGCACCATGAAAAATCTGCTTTTTACAAGAAATCCTTTTCCCTTTAAATCTCTGAGTATTAAATCTAACTGGGAAACAATTAGTAACCTCTGAGTCATCTCTCACTAAATTCCCGGGGCAAAACTTTGAGATCACATGCTTTCAACGACTGCTATTTTATCATATTGTAGAAATTCGGTCAATAAGGTGGGCAAAACCTGGTCAGTAAGGCAGTTAATCTAGACACTGATTAACTGGGTTTGTTTCCTTTCAAAAAAAAAAAAAAAAAAAAATCTAGACAGGCAGGTGTGGTTGCTCACACCTGTAATCCCAGCACTTTGGGAGGCCAAGGCAGGCAGATAACCTGAGGTCAGGAGTTCGAGATCAGCCTAGCCAACATGGTGAAAACCCCGTCTCTACTAAAAATATTTTTTTAAATTAGCCAGGCATGGTGGTGGGCACCTGTAATACTTGGGAAGCTGAGGTAGGAGAACTGCTTGAACCCAGGAGATGGAGGCTGCAGTGAGCTGACACGGTGCCACTGAACTCCAACCTGGGCGACAGTGAGACTCTGTCTCAAAAAAAAAAAAAAATCTAGAGATCACTAGAAGACTTTTTGCTTCAATCCCCAATTAGCTAGTAAAGGGCTGGGGGCCAGGCTGTCTGAAATGTCTCTGGGGCACGTGCTTTGACAGAAAAGCCCCAAAGGGCCTTTTCTGAAGACAGCTGAAACCCAAAGACAGAAACACACACAGGCTCTAAGACTGAGCACCACTAAAAGTACAACACAGCAAAATCAGCAGAAATCCAAAAAGCCTCTGGGTTTTCCATCTGATATCTTTCAGCGAAGGACTAAATGGAGATTCGGCTCAGGCCTAATTAAATGTATAATCACAAGCCAGCCTCTTTATCGCCCCAGTCCCAATAAATTGGTTCAGATCTGCCCTGTCCAACACAACAGCCACTAGCCAGACGTGACTACTGAGCACATGAGAGGAGACCAGCACCACATGATAAAATTGTTTGGATGCACTGAATTAAATACAACAGTGTTAAAATTAATTTTACCGGTTTAATGTGGCTACTTGAAAATTTAAAAGTATGTATGTGACTCATATCTTATCTTTACTCAACAGAGCTGGTCTATACCACAATGGCAAATATATTCCATTTTGAGAGCCAAGGTTGGTGGGAGATCTGGCTTGGCAGGAAACAGCACCTCAGGATTACAACGTAAGCCAAGGGCATGGGGTCCCCATGGGGGTGTGGGGCAGCCAACACCATTGCTCTTCTACAGCACTTTATGACTCAAGATAACTTCTCTCTTTAAACAGGCACCTCCATATCTCCAACCATCCCATGGTCCATTAATGTCCAAGGAGAGGCCAACATTCTTTAGGAACCCAGGCAACCGCTGGTCTGACTAACAGCTTTAGTGCCTTTATTCAGTGCTCCCAAAGTGGGGCGAGTAGGACCTTCGAGTGATCTGGCTGCACAGACAATGCCTTGCTGGGTCTATCACCAGGAGTTCCCTCCGCTGAGGCTCAGCTCAGCTGGTGACAATGAGCCAGTCAGCGCAGAAGCTTACTACCAGGACCACACAGCATTCACCAAAGACATGCCCGCCAGAGGAGTGAGGACCAGGAAGGATCACCATCTGCCCCCCACCCCTCAGAATGACCATTTAAAACGCTGTGGTCCCATGTTCTGGAGAGTCAGAGAGGCATTCCATTCATGCTAGACGAAACAGTGACAAGGCAGAGCTCCACAGATCAGCAGAGAATTGGGAGCTGATTCCACACAAGCACCCAGCAAGAAGCCAGGTGTTAGCGGGTGCTGTCTGATGCCTCACCCAGGCCAGCTCCTGAGTCTCCCCTCACACCAGTCTCCTCAGCTCCTTCCTACTCACCCTTCAAGGTCCAATGCAAAGGCCACCTCTTCAGAGCAGGTTTCCCTGACCTGGTTGTGCATTTTGTCTCCATTCTCTGAATGGGGAGCCTGGAGAATCTTGTAGCCCAGGTAACCCTCCCATGGAGATGAGGGCACTCCCTGCGTGTTCCTCAAAGGCAGAGGCCAGACCTGCTGGTCTCAATATGATCC